TCGATCTACGTCTATCATCAAAATTTTTATCATCGGACGAGGATGGTCCGCTAACTGCTATTGATTTTTATAAACCAAAATCAGAAAAAGCTGAAGAGCGTCATCCTTTTATAATAAATTGTTTGAACGGTATTTATCGTTATAATAAATCAACAATGACATATGATAATAACATAAAAGATAAGGATCTTATTATTTTATTGCCAACAACGGGTAACAAATGGAGTCAACTGTTAGAATATTTTTATGATAAAAATTGTACAAATTGTAACTATTCCATCATTCTTTCCACTATAGTCTACTTATCGTAAAGAACTTAAACGGGAAATACAGGTAGCACGGGAAAATTTTCAAAGCGGATGATGTTTCGCAGGATACACACTGGTAGATTCTTTGTCGGGCATGGTTTATGTTTAGTTAAGTTTTGTTTTACTTTATGCTTTTTCAGGTCTTTATGAAAGAATAATATATTGGTGTATTTCAAGTGCAAATTTTGTAGAAGAAGATATATTATGTAATAAAAATTTGTCCTCAATTGAAATATTATATCTTATTCGGTTTTTGATAGGTCATCGCGTTTATGAATTTACAGATGAAGCGTGTGCATATTTAAAACCTATATTAAACCGTTTAAGAAAAAATGAACAACAACCTGAAATTCAAACAAAACCAAGAATTGATAATAAAAGAGAAGAAGCTTTAGAACGACGATCTGCAGATATCGTTGAACGCTGGGCATTTTCGTTGCAACAAAATTTTGATACATTTAAAGTTCTTCAAGATATGATTGAGGATAAAGACGGTACTACTGATAATAATAAAATTTGTTTTGAAAACATAACAAAATCAACAAGAATAAGGATAATGGAAACAATCAAAAAACTTTTTTATGATAATCATGATATTGATAAAACAACAAATATAGTTAATAATAGTGTTAATAAATGGAATCTTGATACTGTTCCAATAACATCAATTAAACAACGACCGAAAGAATCAATGAAAATTGAATTATATACATGTAAAATTGCAGTGAAAATGTATGATGCTTTATTCTTCCCACAATCGTTACATTTGTTCAATTGCGACTTAACAACAGATGAAATAGGTCAACAAATTTATAATACTGAGAAAACAATATTAGAATTAAATTATAATGTATTTTGTGTACAGCAAATAGATGGCAATAATGGTCCTTTACATCATGCGGAACGTCGTGGTATTAATGTAAAAGATTTGTTGAAAAATTTGATTGAAAAAAAATTATTAAGACAAGGGATGTATTTAAAAACAGCAGCGCGTAATATACTTAGTTATATGTGTATATTTGATTTTGCTGATGAAGATGAATTAAATGATGTTAAACGAACATTAATGGATCATTATGGATGGACATTAGAACATTATATTAAACGGTGTTTTCAAAATAAAGATTATCCTATAAAAATGGGTAAAACAATTCAACCGACAGTGCTTGGTCAGCAAGATTTAGCTATACAAAAACAATCAATGCGAAATACCAGTGAGACATTAACGCAAAATAAGCAATATCAATCTTCAACGGGTATTCTAATAGTTATTACTGCAGTATTTGTCACCATTTCGTAGGTTTCCATTTCATTCTGTTGTCTATCACATACGTCTCCTGCCTGCATCCAAGATATTCGGATAAATAATTTGTTTGAATTGACTGTTGAAGGAAGGTACATCGAAATATTATTTTAAAAGTCCCGACGGGAACATGTCCTGAGAGAGTTATTATGAAAAGGTAGATGTATTCTACCGAAAATGTAATATTAGTTCTTTTGTGCAGAATAATAAGTTTAGTGAAGTTTTCTGGGAAAAAAATGTTTTGCTGTGTTCGTTTTGGAAAATGAATAGAACCATATAGTTACTATCAAAGATGTGTCTCATCTTGCGTTCATCAAAAATGAGATGTTGTTTGACATTGATAGATGTAGTCGATTCTTTATTCATTTTTAGTTTACAAAAAAACGATAGTCTTGTTCATAGTTAATATTACTTGACAATACTTGTTCATCACATGACTCGGGAAAAATAAAAGCATGGTACAGATGCCCACCTATGTCACGGTGGAAATCAAAAAACATCTCATAGTAAAAAAAAATGTAGCCGAAAAGTTACTATGAGATGTTTTTTGATTTCCACCGTGACATAAGTGGGCATCTGTACCGTGCTTTTATTTTTCCCGAGTCATGTGATGAAATGAGTTCTTTGTTAAAGTAGAAGAAATGCTTGTTTGTTTTTCTTAGTTGTAGCTAGCAATCATGCTGAAACGATAATGTCACTTAATCAATTAAACAATATCACAACTACTGCTGATGCCATTCAAAACCATAAAAGTAACCATAAAAGTTCTACGGGCATGCGTAATGAAACAATGGCCCCTGTAGAGGTGTATGCGTATATTTTTCTTTAGTGTATACATTCTTTCTCTTTTTTCTAATTTTGTTCGAAATTCTTCATCTGTCAGATTACTGTGTACTTAGGAGATATTATTAGATTGTCTTAAATCTATTTGTTGCCATAATTGTACATAATATATTTTTACCGAGCTATCTGTTAGGAATTAATTAACAATTTTTATTTTATAGTAAGTCGCTGGTTATTTTTCTAAATAATATTTTTTAACGTTTAACTGTTTACTCCAGATACACATTTAATTTTTGTTTACTTATCCATCTCTGTGTAACTAATTGCTGTCTTTGTAGCGACCTGTATATAACAAAAAAATTTTATATTCTTTAATAATCATGCTGAACGCATTTTTGATGAACGCGAATCTGAATTTCCATTTCAAAAGATGCGCTTTGTGCTGCTCTAGAAAAAACACACTGAACATATTTCTGAAAATCTCAAAAATGAAAAACTATGGAGGAAATACTGTGAAACTTCAGTCAAGTAGATAATTAAACAGACAATCACTGTGACATGGTGGGATAAAATATGTAGCAAATAAAAGAAAGGAAGACAGCTATGCATATTAAAATTGAAATCTTCTTTTTGAAAAGATGAGCGGGAAAGCTAATTTGTTTGATATATAAAATTTACATACATATGTGAACTAGCTGTGAACTTCAGCTTGCTGTCAATAACGATAATGGTTGAACAATTGAAATAAATATTTCAAGGTATCGTCTTTTTTGTTAAAACGCGCTGTGATAGCCCAGGAAGAAATTTTGGACCCTCGCAGGTCCTTCGCAGGCATTAAAACTTTTTTTTCCGCCTTTAAGGCGTTAAAAACCTTCTTTTGACACATTTTAAGGCTTTACACGACTTGAGATTTTTAACGCGTTCTGTGTAGTTATCCGTGTGAATCGAAAACGTCCATAATGTATGTAAAATTTTAATGCATTGTAGCGTCTTTAGAAAACTTTTTTGGCTCTAAGGCTTCTCAGGCGTTAGAAAATAAGGCGTTCGAACGCCTTCCCATTTCTTAACTGACTTGAATTCATACATCAAGTAGAAGGCGTTAGCAGAATAATAATTTTGAACGCGTTTGTGCAAGTTAACGGCACGAAGGCATCTAAACAACTGTTTGCCGTCATCGTCATTTAATGCATGGGAATGCGTTAAAAATCAATGCATGTTCATTCATTTCAGTTTTTTGTAAATACTTAAATTCATTATTGCGCCTATTTTGTTCTTTAATACTTAGGGCATACCAAAAGTAGTGGCAGTGGTATTTTTATCCCTTATAGAAAGGTTAAAGAAACTTTCTTTTATATAGTCTGATAGAGAAAAGAATGTTCTATTTTTCTATGCTATTTGATCA